TTTTTTTATATTCCTTAAGGCTACAATTCCTGCTCAGATCCTGCTCTTTATGGGAGGGGGATGAGGCAGTGCTGGTACCATACGTCCTTCTGTTTCCCTTTTTTCCCTGGCTATTTGGGGGATTTATCACATGTTTAATAACTTTTTAAGATGGAGACATAAATAATTATGTTCTGCAGCATAATTAATACATTCACTCTTTCTTTTTTCTTTCAAGCCAGCACTTGGATTTGCTGGAAGTGTGGGCTCTCCACACACAAATCCAACTGTGGCTTTCTCCTCCTCTGTGACAAACCAAATAATTTTCCTTTCCTTGCTGGGCACTCAAGGATGATTTGGGGAAGAAATGTGAGAATTGGATGAAACTATCCAGGCAGAGGATTTTTAAGGTTAGGGGAGGAGTTGCTGCTGAAGGAAAAAAAAGAGGGGGAAGAGAAGGTTTGGCAAGGGATGGAAATTGGAAAGTGGCATCTTTGCTTTTATCCCCGTTTAAGAGGGACCAAAGCTTGGAGATGCTCCCATGGAAAGCCTACAATAAAAAAATGAATAAATGAAAGCCTAGTAGTAATGGTAATAATAAGCTAGAAATAATAAAGAATAAAGTCCTGTACATGGTGAGTGGACAGTGAGTTCTCACGTGCACCACCTGGATTTGAGAATTAAAATATAATAGGAATGAAAAATAGGAATAAGGTGGCAAGAGTTGATGGGTTACTACAGAGTTTTATGGAGTACAGTCTGTACAATTTGTTCTTGCTCTTGGTTTCCAATGCTCCCACTTTGTCCCACGCAGCTTCCCGGTGGCAGTCCCACTCTCCAGCCGAAGAGGTGCAGCCGGAAATCTGGATCGCCCAGGAGCTGCGGCGCATCGGGGACGAGTTCAATGCCTCCTATTGTCCACGCAGGGTAACTTTCCTCTCTTCACTCTCCATTTCTCTCAAAGGGAAAGGCTGATTCATCTMTGGAAACTCTCTCTGCAGTGAGCGTTTCGTTCACTCAGACGGAGAAAAGGCTGCGCGGGTGGGCGGGGTGGCCAAGACCAGGCAAATCAGCGGTGGYGGTGGCCTCAAATCAATGAAAAATAACCTTTAAATCAATTAAAAATAACCTCAAAGTTGGGGCTGCAGACTTTGGGGTGCCAGGTTTGCAGGAGGGTTTTRGGGCAGAGGTGTTGGGTTGGGCCTGGACCTGATGGTGATGAGAAAACTTCTGAAAGTGAAGAGGTAGGGAAAGTTTGGGGGTGGTTTTGGGGGATGCAGTGCCCAGCACCATCACTTTTAGGGAAGCTTTCAGTGGGATTCCCAACCCAGCTTCCAAATCCCTCTGCTGCAAAGGAGAAACTCAGTTCCAGAACTTATTTCTCTCACAAAGACTGTTTTGGAAGAGTTTTTATAAGCCCATAAAACTCGCTCACCTTGCAGTGTTGCAACCCAAATCGATGCAGTAATGCCAAAGAAAAGTCCAATCCCAATCCCGAGGCAGCCCAGCCCAGGGGATGAAGCAAGAGGAGCTCACCCGTGGCTTGGCTGCCGAGTGTTTCTGACGGCAGCGTGTCCCTGCTTGTGGATTCTGCTCCATCCACTTGGGCTCATCCGTGGGAAGAGGAGTCAAGAGCAGTGTTGGTGATGGAATGCCGGCTGCTGGATTCTTATTCATCTTCCTCCCTGGCTCCTGAGTTGCTCCTGGAGCATTTCCTCACTGCTCCCAGGGTTGGCTTTCCTGCAGAATGGGGGTCAAGCTGTCTTCCTTCCTSCTTTTTCCTCATCATCTTCCAAATGAAGTTCTGGCTTTCCTGACCTGCAACAAAATGGTGATCAGCTGTTTTATCCCAGTCTGGAATAAGCATCTTCCAACCTCCCCCATCCAGGCTGATCCCTTGTGATGCAAAGTAKCTGCTTTTTGGGATGAAAGGACACCTTTCCAGCAAAAGGGAGGGACCAGGCTGTTCAAAGGGCTGAAAGCACCTGGTAGCAGCAGGCAGATCCAGAAGAGCTGGTRGAAGTGTGGAATGCCTTAYMRTGGAATATTTTRAGCTGGAAGGGACCCACAAGGATCATCCAATTACAACTTCTGGCCCTGCACAGSCCCAGCAATCCCAGCCTGTGCCTGGGAGCRTTTTCCGTACATTCCTGGAGCTCTGGCAGCTTTGGGCCRTGGCCGTTCCCTGGAGAGCCTGTTCAGTGCTGGACCCCCCTCATCCCTTCTCTCATCTGCTTCCTGCTTCCCAGAGTCTTAAATTTGGAGCACCTTGTGAGAACAGGTTTGTGAAGAGCAGGAATGTCCTCCTGGTGTTATCCCAGCTCCTTTGCTGCTGGAAACCCCTGGGCACATTGTGCTGCTCCCTACAAACCTGTGGTGGATAAGGGGGTGAATTTAATGGGAATGGGGGCATTTCCCAGGCAGCAGCAGGATGAGGAGCATCCCCCCAGGTTTTCAGGAGGCTGTTGCCAGCACTGTGGCTGCRATCCCAAACTGAGGCAGGAGCAGAACATAGAGGACACGTCCCACCTGCTCAGGTGACACGAGCAGGGGACATCATGCGTGACCCTAAAAACACTTTGTGCCTGGTGCAGTCAGCATGTGACAAATCCTCTCTCCCTGCGCCCAAAACTGGTGAGGTTTCAGAGCATTTAAGCCATGATTTACTTCTGATCCCTGAGGTGCCTTGAGGGAAGGTGCCTTTTCCCTCTGGAAGCGCTCCGGCTGCTCCGGAGCTGTCTGTGCTCCGGGGAAGGTGGAAGGGCTCGTGCCCGCCGGCCCTGCCTGGCGCTGGGGTTTGCCCTTTCAGCCTGAGGTGAGAAATGGGGAACTGCGGCGCTGCCAGAGCCGCACTCGCCGGGCAGGTCGGGGCTGTCGGACGRGTTGGGGCCGCGCTCCCGGCGCGCTCCCTGGCACGCTCCCCGTCACGTTCCCCAGGGGTGTGGCCTCCCCCGGGATCATTTCTTGGATGAGACACCAGGAAATCGAGCAATTCACCATCCAGCCACTCCTTGTCCTGACAAATCTTGTGGGTCCAAGGCTTTTTCTGTCACGAGCCCCAAGCTCTGCTGGCTGTAAAGTGGAAATCCCAGAATCACTGAGGTTGGAAAACACCTCYRAGATCGAGTCCAACCTGATGGCTGATCTCCACCTTGTCACTGAGTGCCACATCCAGTCATTCCTTGGACAGCTCCAGGAATGGAGACTTCACCACCTCCCTGGGCAGCCTCTTTCAATGCCTAACAGCTCTTTTGATGGAGAAATTCCTCCTGTTGTCCAGCCTGACTGTCCTGTTCAACTCCCTAATAATTATTCTACCTCTTTATTCCAGAAAGCCTAATTTTGGTATTTCTCTTCCATCCTTCTCTAAGTCTTACGATGTTTTAATTTGCTTTTCCYGTGTGGTGCCAATCTATCCCAAAATCCATGTCCATGGATGGGAGAGAGCAGCACCAACCCTTTGGTAAAAGSTAGAAGACTTAAAACATGAGAAATTGTGGGGTTTATTCTCAATCTTTGTTAAAACACTTCACTTTGCGTCTCTGGAGTATTTTCCAAGTGTTTGTAGGACAAGGGGGCTTTGTGCTGGGAATTAAAGTCAGTGCTTTGTTTGGTTTTTCTCTTTTTTTTTTGTTTTGTTTTGTTTTTCTCCCTCTCTTTCAGGGTTTCTTGGATTTCCARGTGGGGAATCCCCAGGTGGTGATCCTGCGCCTGCTGCGTTACATCATCCGCCTCATCTGGAGGCTCCAGTGAGCGCCRGGCGCATCCCGAGCCACCAGGACTGAATTCCTCGCTGGCAAAGCCCGRGAAGGACGGACACATGGATGGATGTGGGGCTCCCACCCTGCCTTTCCCCCAGGACAAGTGGCAGGATGAGGGTGGCCATCCCATTGCCACCACAGCGTTTTATGGCAGAGTGACGTTCACTCGGTGTTTCTCTGCACTCTTTTATTCATTTTTTAACTGTTTTTTCCAAAAGAGTCTCAGAGAAAAAAAATGGAACAATGTTTTGTCATCGTTCCTGGAATCTTGCGGGATGAGCCCCATGGAGGGAAAGAGGGACACCTGAGCCAGCTGATGGGCAGAGCCGCCGGAGTTTGCCTTGTAGAGACTCGGATTCCTCCTCTCCCTTTGCCTCTGGGGGCATCTGCCCCGCAAAAAGGCTGGGAAAAGGGCAGAGGGATTAATCAGCACTTCTTTTACCTGTAAATACCTATTGCTACCCCAAATCCAACTTCATTTGCATCATGCAAATCAGCCTATTTCCTGCTGACTGATTTTTATTTTTTGGGTTTTTATATCTCTGTTTTTTTGATCTACTCTGAATTTCAAGACCTCGCTGTCGAACTCCAGGGTCCAAACCATCACAACCAACCAACCAAACAAAAACAACCCCAAGCCACCAGGTTGCCTTTTTTAAAAGAAATTCTTTCTATAAAATGTGTGAAAACGCTTCTGTAGTGTCTGATGATGTGGGAGACTGAGCAATCCAGCAATAAACCATTCCGGAGGCAGGCAGCAGCTCCTGGAACGCCACAGCCAGAGGAGACAGCAGCAGGACCTGCTGTGAGTCGTGGCTGTTAAAAAGGAGGTTTCCAATGTCGYTTTTCTGGGATCCTCTCCGTGTTTGGACAGGGATGAGTTTGGATGCAGATGGAAGGATGCCAGCCTGACACGGATCCAGCCAGAACATTCTATGGTGATCCGACYGTTCCGTCTCCTCCTGGAGAACCTGCCCAGGTGCTCCATGTCCCAGGGCATCTCCCCTTCCCCCCAGAGCTGTGGGGTGATTCCCGTTATCTCCTGGCGGATGTTTTTGGGGGATTGGCTGCCCCGGCCATCCCATATCTATGCACAAACATCCCCCTTCGCTCAGGCTGGTGCAGGTGCTCCCCAAAGCTGCGGGGTTGTTTCTGGTCTCACCAGCACCATAGGAAAAGAAAAGGAAAACCCCAATGCCAAGCCTGCCCCGAGCGGTTGTTCCCACTGGGAGAAGCTGCTGAGTGCCATGGATGGTGATTAGTGTTAATTAATGATGGACAGAGCCCTGTGGGATCTCTGCGTGGCTGTGGCTGGTGGATCGGAGCGGGGCCTCCCCTCCTGCTCCTGGAGGTTTGTGCTGTGAGTTTTAACCTCGATTGCCAATTTTGTCCCCTTTTTTTCCTTGGAAGTGCTAGGTGAGCAGTGGTTGCAGGAGCAGGGAATGTTTTGGGAAGGGCATTTTGGAGCCCTTTAGGGGGAACCTTTGCACTGGTGGAGAGCGAGTGGTTCAAAGAGAGCTTGGCCGGGGCAGATCCTGCTCCTCATCCCTTGGGATTTACCCCTGGCTTTGGCTCACTGTGGCTGTGCTGCCCCAGCCATCCCTTTTTTACTGTAGGCTGCTGCCAGGGATTTCCCATGGAAGCCTCCATGGAATTCCGTTGGTAAAATTAAAATGGAACGGATAAAACTTGGCAGCAGAGGTGGAAACCCAGTGAGAATCTTTTCCTGCCAGTTGAGTTCCATCACTGCTGGTGGATGAAATGGTGCTTTGGGATCTCCCAGCCTTTGGCATCCCGGAATGTGTCCCTTGGAGTACACCAAAGAATCACCAAAGAGCACTTTACCCCTTCCTCCCATGGAGACAAAAAACAGATTCATTTTAAGGAAAAAAAACCTCAAGGTATTGGCGAAGTATCCCAGGGWCTTCTCCACAGGGGGAGTTCCCAGCCAAAAATCATAGGAACRTGACCCCCCACAAAGCAGGATTTCCTGTGGAGTTGTGAGGTTTAGTGGGAAAAATTCCCCAAAAAACCTCGAAACAGAAGAATGGTGTAAAATAGGCATTTATGCTCCTTTTAGCCATGTTGGCTGCCTGCTCTGGGTCATTTTTAAGCGTAGCCCGTGCTCTGTGTTGCACCAAAAGGATGAAGAGTTTTCCTTGGAAAACAGATTGATCCCATTCTTGCTTCTCCTCTTTTCCACCAAACTGTAAATACCCAGATATTTATTAGAGTAGAGCACCRTATATTTTCATCATCTGAGCCAAATATCTGTTTCATACAGTGCAATGTATTCCCTCTTCTTTCTCTCCTGTAAGTTTTGTACAGCTTAGAAATACTTTTTAAAAAACATCAGCAACAACAACAAAAGATTTTTTTAAAAAAATCCTGTTTTTTCCTACACTTTTTTAGAGTTGAATTGGTAAATACTGTAGGTCCTTTTTTTGTTTTGGTTTTTTTTTCCCCCTGTGTAATTAATGCACTCTACTGTTTAATGCTGTAACTTGTAGAAACGTTGTATATTTATTTCCTGCTTATTTAAGTTCCTGTGAAGATTTGGTTTCCTCCCGGACAGAAGTGTTGGATCCCCTTCCAAAGCCATYGTGGTGTGGATAACGAGATTTCAATCTTTTTTTTTTTTTTTTTGTTTGTTCCAAGTGCCTAAGTCCCCACTTCCCAGGAGCGATTTAGGCACATCAAAGACTTCAGCATTAGTGAAATTCAGCGGGAATTTGGCTCCTCCACCCCCTGGGATTGCTTCAGCCAGGTTTTCCTGGAGTGACTGTCCCATGGGATCGCGTGAATCACTAAATCATGTCGCAGGACCCAGCGTATGTAGCATTTTTTACTGCAATTTCCCTGCCTTCCTTGTGTTTTGCACTGATGAATTTTGGACAGGGTAATTGCCACTTTACTTGTGCAATATTGCTGTAAATAATCGCAAGAGCCTTGTTTTTTGGGGGTTGTTTTTTGGTTTTGTTTTTAAGAATCTTTTATGTTCTTAATATGAGTTTTATATGAATAAAAACTTTGAACTATTTGTCCCGAGTGCTGGGGTTTTTTGGGGGGAGTGGAGGAGCTCCTGGGAAAGGGGATATTTGTTTGTTTATCACCAATTTCCCCTGCTTTTCACCCATTCTCCCTCCAGGTCTGGTGCTTCCCTCTCTATTTTGGTGTCCTGCAGCTCCAGGATGCCCCAGGCCACCCAAAATGTAGCTGTTAAATTAATTTGGTTTGTCAGGTGCTGCCTTGAGGGTTCYCAACCCCAAAAGCTGCTCCAGCTGGGAGTGATTTGGGGATTCTTTGGAATTTTCCTTTTCCCCACATTTATGTGGTCATGGGCTCAAGCCCAGCTGATGGATCCCTTCCCTKCTTTCCTTGTCCCCAGCTGGTTTTCACCAATATTGAAGTTTGGGGGTTCATTTTGTCATTTGTGTCTTGTTTCATTATTCTATTTATTATTTAATATTATTATTTAATATTATAATATTAAATATTATTATTATTTAATATTATATTATTATTTAATATCATTTATTAACATTATTTTGATTTTCTTAAGGAACATCACTATTTTTTCCTTCTTATTATTTCACCTGGCGATTTTTTTTTTTCATAATTTTAAAGCTGCTCCTGAAACTTCCCATCCCAGCTTCCTTCTGCCTTGGCCCTCCACCCCATTTATCCCTGCACCCCTTCCTACCCCTCCACTTCTCTGCATCCCAGCAGCCACCACCTGAAAGGGATTTAAAAATAGCCCCCTGAGTCCTTCTTGATAAACAACCTAAAAAAAATTCTGGATTTTTTTTTTTTTTTTGTTCTTGAGTGTGTTTCAAATTACAGAAGTTCCTGAAAGGGAAGTTTATTGGTTTCAGGTGCTATTTTGGGGACTTCTTTAACTAAAAAAAAAAGGTTTTATTGCCCAGAACAAAGGTGGTCGTGGTGGTCAGGGCCAGAACAAAGGTGGTCACGGGCTGGTGATCATGGCCAAGCCCAAGGTGGTCACAGGTTGGCCACAGCTGACGATGGCCATGGCCCAACCCAAGGTGGTCACGGCCCAGCCCCAYCAAAGCCCCACCAGTGGCTCCTCTCCACAAGCCAGGCCCTTTCCACACTCAGAAATTCTAGGAACTCGTAAAATCCCACTGCAATTCTGTTTTAAGGATGACAAATTGCCTTTATTTCTTGAAAAGGAGCGAACTCCCAGATTTTATTCATGGAAAAAGCCACGGGTCCCTGGGTCCATTGGGGCTGGTTGCTCAAGGCTGCCGCGTGCTCGTGCTGTTGAGGACRCACAAAACTGGGACATTCCCGCACCTTTACACCCCTGCCAGCCCCAGGAACGCCACTCAACCCAAGCTGAGGATGAAATTCCAGTCATCCAGAGCCACGGGAGTGACACCAGGCTCTCCCCACACGCAGAAATAAATATATTTACTTTTTTTCCAATGACTCGCCGCTGACCTTTCACACACCTGTGCAGCCCAGACTGGCTAAAAATACCCCCCGAGCTTTGCATTTGATTTTCATACCGCAACAAAGCTCACTCTTTCCAGCGGCTTTTCTGCCTCTCGGGCAGCTCCTGGGATGCTCCACCTCTCCTGGGGTCGCACCCGGCGCACACGGAGATGGGAAGTGGTTGGATACCAGGGAGGCCCCAAAAAGCAATCAAGGGATGTTAAAGGTGCTCTAACAGGGTTTTTATAGGGTGTAAGATAAGCTCAGGGATGGCCGGGCCAAGGGAACCTTCCTGCTGCCCTTCCTGAGCATCCCAAACCTCCTTTCTGTGGAACTGTGAAAAATTAAACCCTGCAGCCTTAGGAAAGGCAAACAACGGGATCATCCCTGATGGGGACACCGCTGTGGTGACAAAGGCTGGTTCTGTGGAGCCAGGGGGCCTCACCCTGCCCTCGTGGGGATACAGGGCCTGTTCTTCCCAGATTTGATGGATTTCTCCTCRCTGGGTTTGTGACAGGCTCCTCCATCCCTTTTCCCACGAGGATGCACAGGGAGCCAGYGCTCCCCGGCCTCGCGGGCCGTTAATTAACCCACACCCGCAATTAAGGACAGAACGGGCTGAGCCAACAGTTCTTTTGACAATCCCACAGTTCTCCTGGCTGCTAATTAGGGAAAATAAAGTTGGAAGACTGGAAGATGGCGTGGTGGCCATTCCCTAAGGAAGGAAAAGATGGTGAGGGCCACAGCTCTGCTTCTCCACATCCTCACACCACGTATGACCCCACACTAAAAAAAATCTGGGTTTTCAGAAATCCTGGTGATTTTCACACAAATAATCCCCTTGGGATTTGAGGGAAGAGCCACAGGACCCCCTCAGCCCACATTCCAACGCCCATCCCTCCCAGRGCCATCGGAGTCCCCCTGTCAGCCRAGGGCAGAGGGGACRGTCACGAGYGCCTGCCATTACCATTCAAATGACTTWTTGGTAGAAATGGGTTTAAAAATAGGGGTTTTATGATAAACAAAGTAACCTCATACAGGAAGTGARCTGCAAATACTAAAACATACTGTACAAAACTGGCAGAGAACAGAGCTGCCCCACAGAACTGAAAAAACAACAACAAAACCCAAGCACTTCAAGGGGGGACTTCAACATTTTCTTGGGTTTTTTTTCTGGTATTTTTTTGAAGGAGGGAGAAGGGGTGAACTGAGGGGAGAAAGGGCTGGGAGGGGGAGAGAATTTCTCCTCACCACATGGCCCTAAAATAAAGGTGATGCCAACACAGCTCCGTGGTGTGAACCCCGAGTCTGAGCGTGCCGGGACTTCAAAAAGCGTCGGCTGCTGCTGCTGCAAAGGTTAAGAAGTTTTCCTCCCGAAACCCCGAGTGTGGGCTGTGAAAGAACATGGTAATGAAGAAAAATTTCCCCAGGGCTGCTCTTTGATTATCACCAAAGCCATCGAGTTTCAGTTTGAGTGATTTGTATTTATTTATAAAAACAAAGATGAAATAAGTAGAACGAAAACAAAAACCTCATCCTAATTTCTGAGCTGGAGCCTGATTTATTCGAGCAGAGATGTTCAGGTAGAGCAGCCTGGGTTGAGAAAATGAGCTGAGTTACCCGGGTGCTGCAGGGAACATTTTTTTAAGGCTAAAAAAATACCACAGAGCCCCCCCAAAAACACACCCAACCTCCCTTGTGGGTACCAAAATGCTGATTTACGAGTCCCTGGGCCAGACAGCAGTTCCAGCCACGGGGTTCAACCCCGGTTTGATGCTGGAGCATCTTAATTCGAGTGGGAGAACAAAAGACATTTCTCTTTTCATGTGTTTTCACTTCCATCGTGAGAGAGCTGGTTTTAAAAAGCACACAAAAAAGCCCTTCAGTGGTCTCGCAGCCTCCACCGTGTTGTTTTTCTACCTATTTTCTGTTGTTGGCTTTTGTTATCAGTCTCATCTGCAATTTGTGGCCGATTCTGTCATGTTTCAAGCAGACAACGTGTTCCCAAAAGTGTTTGCAACCTTTCTCGAGGGTACAGTGGCAAGGGCAGACACAGCAGAACCGCAGCACAACGAGAAAAAGGGCAGATTTAACCCCAAAATCAACGTTTGCCCAAATTGGTGTCCCCAAGGCAGGGATGAGCCCCGGGGCAGTGCTGGGTGACACCAAAGCAGCCCCTGCCCACCCCCTGCAGCATCCTCAGTTTAACAAGAATTAATTCCATCTCCCCATTGTGGGAGAAGCCAAACTCAGCCCTGCGTGACCCCGAGGGTTTTTCCCAGTCCCAAAGGGCGTTTCCCCACCCATGGGCACGGCCCCATCCCAAATATCCCAGCGGAGCCCTGTTTTTCGAAGCGTAACGCAGATTAAATCAGTGGGGCTGTGAATTACCACCGAAAGCCAACGCCGCCGACCTCGCAGCCCTTCAAGATTAATAACGAAACCAAAAAGCAAATTAATACCACAGGAGCAGCGGGAATTTGGCAATTTGGTTGAAATTCAAGCAGCCTCACCCCGGCGCACGCCACACTCGGTGTGGGAGGCAGCTCTGGCCGCCAGCAGCAGCTCTCCAGGAGCAGAGGGGTTAAACTCAGGGATTTTTGGGGGGTTTGGGCTGCRAGGGAGGGCCGGGGGCCGTGACCCCGCCGGGCTGAGCTCGGCACCGCCGGGGCAGCTCCAGCTCTCCGGGGCTGCGGGCGAGGGAAGCGCCGCGCACGGCCCCGGTGACCCCTCKTCGCGGAGAAAACCAATTTGGGGGTTTTTCAGGGCAGGAGGCGGCTCGGCGGGGGCTGCTCGGCCGGGGGAGGACTGAGCCATTGTGAAACCCCGCTCCTTTTCCTGAGGCTGCGGCTGCCGGCGGCGCCCGAGCCCCGCGGCGCCCGAGAAACTGCTCCAACGGTTTCCCGGAGCAGGGACACCCCGGGGACACCCGGCCCTCACCCCTCGCACACAACAATTTTGGGCTCCCCGGGGCGGGGAACAGCAGCCAGCAGCTCCCTCGGGAAGGGCTGCCTTCCCCTCAAAACCTCTGCAGCCCCAAAASCTCCTCCCGCAGGATAACCGGGGCAGGGGGGTCCCACCGCCCCGCTGCCCCCACCCCGATCCCCCTCGATTTCCACCAGRCACAAATCCACGCCATCGGTTTGCCCAGGAAAACAACAAAATCGAGAATTTCAAGTCAATGTCTCAGGGCTCTCCCAAAGCTCTCTCCACTTCCTGTGACAAAACAAAACACGCTTCGTTTGAAACTTATTCTTCCTCTATTTAGCGCCGAGAAGAGATGACCTAAAGCACCCCCAAAACCTTCCTGGGATGCTGYGCCCTTTCCCAAACCATCCCCATCCCGGGCAGAGGATGGAGCCGGGCTGCAGCACCCTCAGCAAGGCACGAAATAGTTCATTTCGAACGATTTCATTTCAAATCTCGARCTGGGCTGAATTTCCACTTCGCTATTTTCGTCTCGCTGCTGCTCGAGTCAAACGCTCCCCCCTCCCCTCCTCCTCCTCGTCCACGTCATCGATCTCAAACCTGAGCCAAAAGGTGGCAAAWGGAGGGGACGGGGGATAAATTTGGGGTTCGGCT